AATGTGGTTTTAAAAACATATGATTTCACCTAATACGAATTGATGAATATGAATATTAATAATGGAAATTGACAATAAGATAAATCAAATTAGTGTTTGAATGAAATTCAACCCTTGAACTTGAGTACTCTCGGACCAGTCCGAAAACTAACTAGACCGTGCTATTTTCACCTTGTTTTCCTTAACGAACTCAAAAGAAGCCACAACTTTTAAACCATCTTAAACCTTATCCATAAGCTAAATTGAAAATGCTCACTAATGAAGATGGAGAAACTGAAGCTGGGAACACTACTAGTTGTATATTATACTTTTTTCTACTTTATTTTGAAACGAACTGGCTCTCTATAATTTGTGATTGTTTATGGCTATTGTTCTTCTCCCTCAGTTTAAAATATAATGGCAGAAAACTATCTAGTCTTAATTGGGACATTGATTTTTATTATCATCGTCAAACGGAAAACTTTTTGACTCCATCATTATTATAATAATGTATTATATATGAAAAATAGGAGTTATATTTTGTGGCTTATTTGTGCCTTAATTTAAACAATAAAACAAAGCTTTTACTACAAAAGTCATATTTAATCTAACTAAGTCGTTTGACCCAAAGATAATGTAACAAAATTAAATAGGTACACTTCAAGAATTATTTATGTCATTTATATTTAATTTATACACTCGTTAGATTGCTTTTGAAAGAACTCATCAAAGTATAAATATATGAAAGGCTCATTGGAATTTGAAAGCTTAACCCAAGTTCAATTTATTTTCCGGCGGGCTATGAAGGGAAGGGAAACTACCTGCTATCTCTATTTATAAGTAGCTCGTTATAAAAATTGATCAATTCATTACTAATATTAGCCAATTAACTATTTGTAGCAAAAAATATCAATTTTTTGCTTTTTCTTGAGTGGGTTTTATTAAAATAAATTGGTACATCTTAAGGAGCTTCGATCTCAGTTTTGGGATAGTCTGGTGAAGTTTTGAGGTGGTTTGAATTGAAAATTCGAAATAAAAATTGAACATGATAAAATTTGATATGTGTATCACAATGTGTATCACATATGTACCATATTTATATCAATTGTGTATCATATGTATATACATGTATACCTATGCATGAGATACATGTGTGATACGTGTTTGATACACGTGTCGCAGAAGAATTTTTTAAAGTCGATTTAATTACTTTGACACAAAACCAGTACAAATCATCTCCAATCTTCCTCAAATTTTGTATATTGACTTATCTATGTGTTTTCAAGGAATTTCAACTATACCCATTCAAAAAGTTTCTTTTTTGTTTAGATTTTTGGAATATTGTATATTTTTTTTATGTATTTCATCACCTTATTTGCTACCTCATCTATGAAATTTTCTTTCCGTCTTGCATCTAATGTTGCTAGTCACGCTTAAAAATATGGAAGGTGATTTTTGCATGCGATTCTTTGAGAGAAAGAATATTATTTATTTGGTTTTTCAATTTTTATATGTGCTTGGATAGTTTTGGCTAGTCTATGACGAATGGCTAGAGATTGGTAAATTAAGACTTATTTGGGACATTTGTGTAAATTTCTCAAAGAATAAGGAATTTTTACACTATATAATTGCCCAACCGAAAAAATAAGTGCCAATATTCAATATGTGTATAATTAGTATATAATATATGTATATTGACTAGCAACACTACTAGAAATGGGCCTACGGCAACGGTTTTTAAGCAACGATTCACAAACCGTTGCAATAGACGGGTACAACCGTTACAAGAGGATTGGGATGATATCAGCACACTTTAACTATACAACCGTTCCAGTTGTATTGGAACCGTTGCCATAGAGTATTTTACCGCAACGGTCTGTGCACCGTTCCAATAGACCGATNTCCCAAATTCCAAAATCTATTTTATGGTCGATTCGAAGATGCTGTCCAAACGAAGCTAGATTTTTGTGAAACAAGCCGATTTTTGATTGTAGAGGTTCTTAAAAAAGGGAGATTGTTGTTGCATGTCTTTTGATTATTCAGAGAGGTATGTTAATCTCATTCTTTTTCTTCACCTAGGTGTTGTTGGAATTACGCTTTCAATTTTGGTTTATTTCTTGTGCTTTTTTATTTCAGTATTGTTTCTTAATATTTGATTAGTTTGGTTTGATGTAATTTTATTTCTTTCTCCTTTTCTCTGTTACATTGGTATTCTTTTCTATATGTATATGTAATTGGAGCCGGAAGTAGCTTTTATTTAATACTAGGTAATATTATTGAAAATGGGAGAAACGATGTTTTCCTAAAATCGATATAATTTAAAGATGTAAAAATGATATTGGTGTAAAAATGATGTAATTTAAATGTATTCTATTTCAACGTTCTGCTCGTTGAAATTCTTTAGCATCCCATGTTTTCCTTGAAGCTATTTTTGATGTTATTTCTTAATATGTTCCGAACTTATTATCTTATATCTACTTCCTTCATATTACAAGAATATGCCATTTATTAGAAGTTAAAAATAATTTTGAAAATATCTGTATGTCGACGGGAAGCAATTGTTTTTCCCTTTGTGGATGGCAATTTGGGTGAACTGTTTAAAGAAATACTTTTTTAGTGAAAGAGTCTTTAAGTGAAATGAAGTGTAGAAACAGAGTAAGAAAAGATGAGTCTAATGTTGTGGTGTTTGAAAATTTGGGTGCTGTGTATTTGGAGGAATTATTGAGTTCCTCGGAATGGTGAAGCATGCTTCCTACCTACACTTTGTGATATTTTTCCCCAATAGTGATCTCATGCCTACCTTTTCTCCATATACAAAAAAGAGGATCTATTCTTTTGCTAGCTTTGTCAAGGATTGAGGATAAAGTTGTCACATTTACATTTCCAACACATAGGCTTGTATCAGGAGATTTAAAAACCTGAACAGAATGTAAAGATTGTGAACAGAACAGAATATTCAACACATAGGCTGATATTCATCTGTTCTTTATAGAATTATGACTAACAGAATGTAAAGATTTAAAATCTTGAATAAAATCTGAAAATGACCATCTTACCTTCGGCCATGAATTTAACATGAGTCAAGTCTGCATTTCCACCCATGAAAATCATGATTTTATGTTAAATTGGTTGCTTGGTTTTACCAATAAACTCTTCATCACAATGTTGTATTTAAGTGAATAAGTTGTCGAAGCTGCATGGAAATGTCTAATTTAAGCATTGCATTTTTTTTTTGGATTATCTCTTTGGAATCTAGAGCTTATTATTTAGGAGAACACATGGTCTATTTTAATTACATGCCTTCTTTTTCTTTGTGGGTTACAGATATCTAATCTGGTCCAGATTTGGTTTCAACGGCCAAAAGACATTGTTCGAAAGTTGGTATCAGGAGATTTAGACCTTGGCATCATTGGTGTCGACACAATCAGTGAATATTAGCTGGTACGAACTAAGTGTTTCAGCTTATTTGTCCATAAGAAGCATAAAAAAGAGCCAATTATGATCCAAACAACTCAGAGACAACTCTACCATTCCCAAATTTCATAAACTTGCACAGTAAGTACCCTTGGACTCGAATCACCATCACGGACAGTCTACTTCCTCCCAGTAGTGCAAGTTTTCATTAAATATACCTGTAGAGAGTATTTGTACTATCAAGTACTGTGCGATGCCTATACTTGTACTATCCTTTTTGCATATTTCTTTTTTTGCTCCTGCTGTATTTTGTGGATGCAATACTTCCTGAGATAACATAGCATCATATTGCATTGCATCTTCAGCCCAGATTGCAGTCCTCGTGTCCAGAATTGTACAGCAAAAAAGGTGTTGCCCATGAGTCCATGCCTGCATATTTCTGCTGCTTTTTGCTTCCATTTCCTGTAGCCTTCATCTGATTCTTGTTGTAGCCTTTGTGCATGAAATCTTAACATGTTTTGGAAGTTCACATACTACATAAAGCTGGAGTATTGATATTTCCTTCCAAAATGGCTCGCTTTTTCCTTGAACGTGCCCAATCCAGAGCTTCTTTATATTTAAGCTTAAGCAATTCCATGGTTTCATTCTCATGCTTGTGCATGTCACCTTTCCTTCTTCAAGCATACTAGTGGTCTTGTTGTTAATGCTTTGATAACTTATTTTTTATTTAAGTTTCTGAATTTGACAGGAATTTGAATAGTCATGAATCAGGAAGGACACTCAAGTAAAAACAAAAAAGCTAAAAATTGCATTGCAGCCGGATCACTTGCATCTTTGCTGAACCAAAAAGTTTCATCATTGAAAACAAAAAAAAATTGTTCAATCTACAAGGACAAATGACAAGCATCATCTGAATTTAATTGAAAAACAACTTCCGCAATTAGGATCTCAAGTGCAAGAACAATTGTTGCAACTACCTCAGCCTTCTACTTCTCCTCCAACACAAAATGTACATGAACATGTGCAACAAAAGTCACTGAACTCTACCTCTCTTGCATCACAAGCAATACGTGAACAATTGCAGCAACTGCCACTAGATTCCACCACTCGTACTTCACAAACGGTACATGAACAATTTGAGAATTCTTGCAATCATGAAACAAACAAACAATCCGAGGAACAAGGCAAGAACATATAAATTTTATTTCGTTAAATTAGCAAACAATATGGACGTGATATATGGTGATTATTCTTACTTAATATTAATGCAGGTCCTTCTGACGAAAAAAGAAAAAGAGGAAAAACTTTGATGCCAAGTATTCATGGTAGGAAAGAGCGCAAGCTAATTGTGCTAAACGAGAACAATCAACATATAGGTCCTACTAGTGATGTTGTAGCAGAGTTGGGTAGCTTCCTCGGCACATTGGCAAGGAATGCGGCCTTTTGTCCTCTTAATGTGTTAAATTGGAGAAAACTTCAAACAAAAGAAGATATGTGGATATATATCAAGGTTTGAAGTTCGCAATATTCTGTGTAGATATTTCATATTTTTACACTAACCTAACTGTACCAAATTAAATTTGTAGGGAAAATATGATATTCCTGTTGCTGCAAAAAGGTGGGTTTTTGATTCGATTCAGAATGCTTGGAGAAAGTATAAGAATCAACTATTTAACGACCATTATAAACCCTATGAGAATGACGAGCTTCGAATGGAGAAAAGGTCGGTTGATGTTCCTGAATCTCAATTTAGGGATCTTCTTAATTATTGGAACTCTGATGCCTACAAGGTAAAACTAAGTACTGTCCCATGATTTGCTGAGAATGTCTGGTTTATGTTTAATTAGAAATCACTTTATTATTTTTATACATCAAATGCACTTAGGTTACATGACCTAGTGCAAATTTTAAGCTTGATTTGAATCTGTTGGGACAACTGAACTTGACAACTTTGTATTTATTGGCCGATTTGCAGAAAATGTCCCAAACCAATACCGAGAATCGCAAAAAGTTGAAATATCCACACACTGCTGGCAAAAGAAGTTTTGCTCGAATATGTGAGGTTTGATATTTTTTTTCTTATTATTATTCTTTTAAATATGAACTTATTAACTTTAGTCCAAGATATTTTTATACCACTTTTTATATAATCAGGAAAAAAAGAAAGAAACTTCTGAGCCTCTATCAAGCAAGAACATCTTTGTGGCTACGAGAAAAAGAAAAGTTGATCGAGTATACAAGGCCTCGTATGCGGATACTCTTAATAAAATTGCACGAGTTATTAATTTAAAGTTTGTTGTTATCATTTGTCTGTTCTTAGTTATTGACTCAGTGTCATATACTTTCTGATTTAATAATGACTCAATTTGGTCTTGTAGGCTGAAATAAAAAGACTACAATCAACATAAGAAAGTGAAGATGGCAGTCAATCAGTTGATGCATTTGCATCAGTCATGGGACCTGAGCATCCAGGTCGCCTAAGATTGTATGGACGTGGGGTTACCAAGACTTCCTTAAAAAGAAAAGTGGGAGATTTTGGACCCTCTTTAAGTTCTACTGATGAGGTGATGCAGCAAAAATTGGAGAAAATGGAAGAAAGGATGCAGCAAATATTGTAGGAAAAGTTCAATGCACAAAAAGATGCCATGGAACTACAAGTTGCAGTTAACATCATTTCACAACTTAAGCATATGAATCCATATTTACGGGTTGATCCCAGCATGCTAGGTTTCAATGCTCGTTCACCTAGAGAAGCTTCCTCTGCACAACAAGCTGTTTTGCAACTAATCAATCGCCTATCTACTGGGAGTAATAATCAAGGTCAGTACGTCTATCTTTGTTTGTTTCTTGCTTTCTTCTTCTCTTCCTTCTGCTTCTTTTTTAAAGTTTCACTTAAACTTATTCGGATTAGCTATAACCTTTTATAAAGAGAATAATTGGCTTATAATATCAACACATGTTGCTTCCTCACACATGTTGCTTGCTCTTTATCTTGGTTTTCTGTACAAAGCCATCTATTGATTGGCAAAAGCAACATCTATTGTGTGGTTGGCTGGTTTTTGTATCTTTGGAACCTAAATCAATTAATCAGTCAACTACGTTTCAGTTACAAACTAGTTGGGTTCAACTCCATACTTCACTGGTGACCATTTGTTTCAATTGCTTACCATTTGCTTTTTTTCTTTTCTTTCTAAATCCTCATAGTAGACTCTCTAGATTGAAGGCTTTTGTCAACTAGCTATAGTTGCGCTTCTGTTAACTCTTCTCTCGTTTTTCCTTTGTTACATTGGTTTCAAGAAAGATTTATAAGGGCATTCTTCAAAAGGATGCAAAATTTGCCTTTTCTTGTTGCTTATGTTGTGTTTAACTAGTTTCAATGTTTGATATGGAAATGGAAAATGAAAATAACTAATTGAACAGTTTGTTAAGCTGAAGAAAGTCATCTGGTGAAACACTGTTACTGTGTCTGGAAGGAAGTGAATAAGAGAAGTATTATATAAGCTTTCGGCAATGTGGTAAACTAATGAATTAGGAAAGATGAAGATAATATTATTAGGTATCAGTGGCTAGTTTTTTAAGTTGTGAATTCCTAGTTTGGAATTCTATTAAAGTTTCTTTTGCTTTTTTTTTTCAAGAGAGCAATAGGACTTATGCTATAACATAAACACCATCAAAAGATTTGCATGATTTTCCTTTTCTGCTTCAGCTGCCCTCTTCAACTTGGCTCCGATGTGTCGCGCATTTGTATGCTCGATACGCAGCTTGCCATAGGCATTGAATGATTTCATCTCATCTGTGACCTTGACAAGGTCAACAGTTGGTTGCTCCCTAGTAATAGGCATGTATGAACCCTGGACCTGGGTGGCAGTAGCAAGTTCCTATGCACTAGAATCACCAACCTTGACTTTCTTAGCACGCCTTGGGAAGATGACAAGCTTAGTTGTTCCTGCGGCGATGATCAACAGCAATGCCAATGGTTGGTGCTAGTTTCTTGGGAATACCAGCTACTTTCAGTTCTTCAAGAGAAAATTCCCTCCCAGCCCGGACTTTCATGTTGTATTTCAGTGTTTGTCCATGAAGAATAGGTCGAAGTGATCCCGCAGTTGGCCTAGGGAAAATCTTCACAGCCTTCTGCTGTCTAGCAGCACGTCTCCTTGTTTTTCTAGCTGGCTGGTTGAACCAAGTCCTTACATAGTTTTGCCAATGCTTCTTGAAGTGCCCATTGGGTATAACATTGTTGTGCTTCATCTTTTACTTGGTTAGCTACTGATTCTGGAGGCTTTGGGAGTACAAAGTCTTTTGATTCTTACACGGATTTAAAGACAACCAATTACTTGTTGTCATCTCTGACTTGTTTTTGAAAAACTTTGTGCTTTAAGATTTTTACTGGATATAAGATTGTTTCATCCTAGCGAAAAGAACTGAAGACTTAGAGATCGACATTCTAGTACATTTGAAAACTTTGTGCTTTATGCATTGTTTATGGACCATACCCATTCTTATAATGACAAACCAACTCTTGAAGGATAATGACTTTATTTATCCTCTTTTGTAGGTGGAGCAATTGAAGAAAGGGAAGATGGAGATTGTGAAGATCTAGACCTTACTTAAGAACTTTGAATTGTTGTCCATGTTCTAGGAATCTTTTGTTATCAACATTTGAACTAACTCTTGAAGTGTTGATGTAAAACTTATGTGATTGGGTTAAAATATTTTGGTTTTATGGAGTAAGTGTTGATGTAAAACTTATGTGATTGGGTTAAAATATTTTGATTTTATGGAGATAATATAGATTATGAAGAGTTTTATCTTTTTATTTATATAAATTTCAGGTTATTACAAATTTTATATATCTAAATATTCATTTACAGCCAGGGCGTAATAGTCTAATAGAACCGTTCCAATAGGTCTTGCAAACCGTTCCAATAGGTATGACAAATTGCTCCAAAATAGTTTACAAGAACCGTTCCAATAGGTATTCAAAACCGTTCCATTAGGTCTTACAAATCGTTCCAAAATGTGCAACAAACTGACACAATAGTAGTTAAAACCGTTGCAAAAGAAATAAAACCGTTACAGTAGCGTAATGAAACCGTTAGAATATTTGTAAATAAACGTTGCAATAGCTTAAATAACCGTTGCAACATATTATATGGTAACGGCTGCCAACCGTTGCTATAAACTATATGGCAACGGTTTGTAACCGTTACAACTGGAAAGAAATACTCGTTGCTTCAGATAGAGGAACAACCGTTGCGATAGATATACCTTAAGCAACGGTTTGGGTAATCGTTGCAAGAACCTTTACTCTAGATCTACTGGCACGACAGCGTATGTAACGGTTGCTAAACCGTTCCAATAACTCTATGGCAACGGTTTACCTCTCTGTTGCAACTGTTTTACGGCTGTTGCAATAGGCTCATTTTCCAGTAGTGCAAATGTTAAATTTAATCGGGTGACCAAATGTATAGTTTCCTTAAGGTAATGGTATTTCAAAATTCAAAGTGCAAGCCTAAAAAACACGAGGAATTAAGAAATAGCCATTTTTTGAATCGGTAATTGAGAATTAGTCGCGGTTTCAAAACTAATTAAAACCTAGCCACTTTTTCAAGCGAAAATAATATTTGAACAAAAATACTCAAAATAATATTTGAACAAAAACATTCCCAATTTAGTAAATGCGGAAAAGGCCTCTTCTTCATATTTTTTGGTTATTTCGAACTCGAGTACCACACGGGAGTGTAAGCTTTTACACATATATTATGTTGGAGTTGGAACATGGAATGATGAGAGTTCCAGTTTTTATTTATCTTTTTCTCCTTTTCTAAATTTCATGATACTATACGGGAATTTTATTTGTTAGAAGTTTCAATTCCAACCTTTTTTGCGATCCCAACATATTTCTTGAACTTCCACCATTCACTCCAATGTTTTTCTTGATATCCAATAATTTTCTGCGTGAACTCCAATATCCTTTTTTATCAAATTCAATATGTTTTCATGAACTTCGACATTAAGTCATTAACGCTCGCATTTTATGCATGAACTCCAATATGAACTCCGATATTTTTTCATTAAATCCAGCAGTAGCTCCAATATCTTTTTAATGAATACTATTATTTTTTTCCTAAACTCCAACAATAGCTCCAATATTTTTTTATGAACTCCAACATTAACTTTTAACATTTTTATATGTACTTCATCATTTTTACGGTTCAAATTCTATAAAAAGAAGAACAAACGACATAATATGTTTCTATAATGAAACTAAAAAGTAAAAGAGAAGAGAGAACATTAAGTTCCAAAAATACAGTCTTCAACTCTTATACATTTAGAATTTTTTTTATGTAAAATAAGGTATTCGAACATATCTTAAACTAGTTTTTCGGTACGCACGTTGCGCGTGTATTGTAACTCAATGAACGCAAAATTCTTTAGAAAAAATATATGAAGATATACTATATACTACTAATCAAAGTTTTGATCCAACCGTACCCTTGAAAATCATGAGTTGGACATATATGTTTCTAAAGTTTGTAACTTGTTCATTACATTTTTTTAATTTGTGTATTTTCATTCTTAAACATAATTAATACTATTGATTTTTGGACATCTCTTATCATATTCATCTCTCTTTTTAATCTCCAAAATAGATCAAGGAAGGAAATTGAAGCATAAACTTATTATTACGGCTGTAATTTATGAATACTAAACCAGCATACTCAAGGAACAAAAATATACCATACTTTAGCATATACCAAGTAATGAAAGTTACTTCCATTTAGCACACATGATAAGTAGTCAATAATCATAAACAACATAAAAGTAAGGACATGCAAAAAAAAATAATTGTACTTTTATATCTTTTTCATTCATAAACAACTCCAAAATAATCCAACAAATCAATGTACTTCAACATAGGCAGCACGCACCGAAGGTAAACATGAAGGTGCGGCAAGGAGAAATAAATAGATTTTCATCCATACCCACCATAAGAAATTGATAATGAAGTACCACAAAAATTTTCCAATGCAAATTTATACAAAAAAGAACTTGTGGCAGCATGAGTATGATTATGAAAATAATTAATTGCTTTTGTATATCACGTTGATTGTTGAAGTTAAAGTCATTTCCAAGGAGCCGAAACCCTGTAAATTTCTTTGCATCATTTCACATACTTAGGAAAGAGTCTGCAATTTCTCTTTTGTGTTTAGCCATGTGGCAATGATGAAGGCATTGTCGACTGTTAACATAATGAGATATAAATTTCTTTAGATCAACAAATTCGTTCATTTTAAAATTAAAACTCATTCACATTTTTTTCTTTGGGAGCCAAAATGCTTGTAATACTGAAAGTCATCCATCCCATAATCATTTTCCGAGAGAATTTCCAACAATGTGTATGATACTTTTTCTACATATTAAAAATCAAGAAAATGGTAGTTGGACAACGTAAAGAAATATCTGTCCCTTTAACATTCTGTTATAACACAAAGTCATCATCTTTGATATATTTTGCTTTTAGAAAAAAAAAAAGTAATAGCATTTATAGTTACTCTCTGAAATAACACAACTTTTAGAGGAGGCACTTTAAATTAAATTTTTTCTTTTATTTAACTATTATTAAATACCTAAATAAAACTATTAATTTAGAAGAATATTTAAGTAATTCAACTTTTAACTTTTAAATTTTTCACTTTTATAATTGTTAGTTTCTCGATACGTATGGCGCACGTGTATGCCAAATTCATGCAGTACACTTGTTAGTTAATATTCATATGGCCATACAAAGATTTAAATAGATAATTATAAATGGAAAAAAATTAAAATACAAGTTAATAATTAGGCAGGAAAAGAATAAAATACAATTTTCTATGAGTATTAATCAATATGAAATATCGAATGCTAACTTTTTTGTCGAAATCAAAATAACTGAATAACGTCTAAATCTACGGACATAAACAATAAAAGTTTAATTAGATACATATAATTTTTTATTTTTTTACTTATTTACATATTATGTTGTACAAACTATATCACTAATTGGCTGCCGGAGAAACTAAATTGATTTGATATTTTAACTAAATCTATGGTTGAATAAATTTCAATTCTCAAAATTCAAAATTAATTAAGCTCAATGATTGCAAGTTTTGGTCAATAGAATTCTTGCAACTGTAGTTTCTCGGCAATACAAATATGAAGATTACCAAACCATTTTCGAAATAATTCGTCTGTTAAAAAATTATGCATTTATAATGAAGTAATAAACTATATTCTGTTATAAAATAAAAGCAATGCAGTAAAATGTAAACAAGAAGAGATAGAGAGAATGGAGAAGTGTTTTCTTCTTTCACTTTGGTGTATTTTTCCATTGCAATTACATGGCCTTTTATAGGCATAAAAAGTAAAGATGATGGACATAAAATAGGAAATTTAATCTTTAAGTTATTCACAACATGGGCATCCAATGTAGCATCCAATGTAGTATCCAAAGTAGTATCCAATGTACAAACTATTCATAACACTCCCCCTTGGATGTCCATGTAAGATAATGTGCCTCATTAAAAACTTACAAAAAAAATATTGGGATGTACATAGTTATTTATAATATGCATTGCTTGCTGCCTCATTAAAAACCTTACCAGGAAAACCCAGTGGGACAAAACCTTGGTTAAGGAAAAGAGTGCAGCGTGTAGTTACTCCCCCTGATGAAAAATCACTTAATGTCTCGAAGACGACGCATTCCAATCTTATATATCAGCTTTTCAAATATTGAGGTTGGTAATGCCTTAGTGAACAGATCAGCCAAATTATCACTTGAACGAACTTGTTGTACATCTATTTCACCATTCTTCTGAAGATCATGAGTGAAAAAGAATTTCGGTGAAATGTGTTTTGTTCTATCTCCTTTGATATATCCTCCTTTCAATTGAGCTATGCATGCAGCATTGTCTTCATACAATATTGTTGGAATATTCTCTTTCGAAGAAAGACCACATGTTTGCTGAATGTGTTGAGTTATAGATCTTAACCAAACGCATTCTCGACTTGCTTCGTGAATGGCTATTATCTCTGCATGATTTGAAGAAGTAGCAACCATAGTTTGTTTTGTCGAACGCCATGATATGGCTGTACCTCCACTTGTAAATAAATAGCCTGTTTGAGATCGACCTTTGTGTGAATCAGACAAATATCCTGCATTTGCATAACCAATCAATGATGGCTTGGATTCATTTGAATAAAATAAACCCATATCAATGGT